TGACAAGGTTTATCCTCTGCTGCCGAGAGCTTCCTTGCTGGAGCAATATTTAACCCTTCATCCCACTGCTGGCTGTGCAGTTCCCCCTTCGGGAGGATGTGTCTGTGAGCTGCAGGTGTAATCCTGGCTCCTCGGCTGGGATCATCCAGGGGACACTCCTGGGGGCATCCAGGCCATCCCTGCAGGCTGGAGAGATCACTCTGGGCTTCACAGCAACAGGAAAGTGGCACAATCCAGAGCAAGTGCTGGGGTCTGGGGAGTTTTGGAGAGGGAAATACCCATCCTCACTCTCTGGAAAAAAGGTAGACAGTGACAGAGGCCGGTCCACCAGTGTCCCAAAGCACCATCCATGAGACAGGGTCACGAAAGATGGCTTTTCTGAGCGAACAGCACTGAGGTGGTGCACACTCTTCCCAAAGCTGCAGGTACAGAGGCAGCCCCCAGACACCGCCAGTGTCAGCTGGGACCAGGCCCAGCTTTCCTCTGTTGAGGTTTTTCCAGTTCCCATTAGAGAACTTACCTTTTTCCCTTGAGTTCACTTTCAAATTACTGTGTTATCAGCCAACTGGAATTGCTTCTAAGTACTTCTCTTCCCCTGGAAGGCTTTAGTTTGGAGAAATCCAGCTGGAATGGGTCCCTCTGGGGATATCAGCCAGACCCTTCCTGCTGTGACTGCAGCTCATGCCCTACCTCACTGAGCACCATGTTTCCTGAGGGCAGTGGGGAAGTGACTGACACAGTCACAGCCACAAGATTTTAAGCTTTCAGGAGCTTAAAATCCTGAGGTGTTGTTCATGGAGGAGAGGAGACAGGACAACTTGTTTTGTGCCTCTCCCTACCTGTACCGAGGCTAGGGCTCAGACAGGTTGAACATGCTTCATAGGTGCTACATGGAAAGTCCCTCTGAAGTTTTGGCATGAGATCCATTTTTCTCAGTCCTTTGTGTCCTCTCATCTTGTAGGGTGGGACATCACACAGGAACTTTCTGGAGAAAGACAGGACAGGAAGCTGAGCAGCCCGAGTATCTATTGTTTAATCACGGAGCTGACTGTGACCCCACTGACCACGAAACAGAGGCACTCATTTCTCATGGAGTGGTTGAAGTTGCATTATCCACAGATCATTGATTACCTCTATTTGCCAGTCCCCATCTGTCAGGCATGGATATGACTGGGAAACAGCTGAGATGAAGCTATCATCCATTTCAAGTGAGCACACCACCCAACTGGGACTTTTCTTCTAACAGAAATCTGTATCTAGCCTGTTTTCCATCCTCTGGAAAATAGAGGATGGAAAAAACCCAGAATCCTGCCAGGTTTCACATCATGGAATGAAAAATCCTGGAGACAGGCTCATCACATTTGCTGTGGTGCCATGAGGAGGAAGCACAAAATCTCCCCAAAGTGCTCCTCAGAGTGCATCGTGAACCAATATGAGCCCAGCTCAGGGCAGCTTGCTGCTCCTGTCCGTCAGCAGGAGCATGAATGATCCCAGGGGGCAGAGAGCTACTGGAGCAGTGCCAGGAAGTGGGAAAGTGTTGAGCTGAGTTGCTGTTCCCATAGGCTATGGGACCAGAAATGCCCTGCCATGCATCTGAAGGAACGGCACAGGAACCGGCCGTGTGGCACAGACCCTGGGAAGAGCAGGGCTGAGCGCTTGGGGCAGCACAGGGGAGGTTGCCCTGCGGAGGAAGGGGAGCTGCTGACCAGGCTGGGTGCTCATGGCACCTTCTGAGTGCAGACACTTGCCACACATCCCCAGCTGAGGGCACTCCCAGACCAGCACATGAAGTAGGGCCGGTTTTGCTCTACAGTCCCCTGGGGTGACCTGAACGTCCCAGTCACTCTGCTTGGGTCCCGAACCACTGAGTTGGGGGAAAGCTCCTGCCTGGAGAGAAACAGCACAGGTCTGAGCCACCAAGTTCACTTCTCTACAGCCTGTCAGCTCGGCAGCCCCCTCCAAACACACCGCACTTGGGCTCCAGCTTTTGGGATGCTTTGTGGGTGGCTCTCACAATCCTCCCCCCACATCCTGGTGGGTTTCTTGACCAAGCCAAGCAGCTGAGACCACTGAGTATACCAGCAGGAATCAGTGCTCTGGATGTTGCAGATCAGATCCACCAACCCACAAAGCCTTTTTGGGCTGAAGGATGGGGTCCAGCAGGACAGCCCCGATGCTGCTGCTCTGTGCTGCTTCAGGGACCCACCTAGAGCTACAGACCCATCACAAAGGCACCTTGCAGAGGGAGGCTGAGTGACAGGGCCTCATTGAGGTCCCAGGTCTTTGCCAGCTGTGCTGGACAGCCCTTGAGGTGGCTGTGAGGATTTGGAGTGACTCTGGACTGCCCCAGAGAGGGGTCAGGGCAGCTGCAGTGACAGGAAGGAGAGAGGGAGCAGACAGAGCAGGCTGGGGACAAGGTCAGAGCAGACCCTGCTCTTTGCATCTCTGCCTCCCATGGTTTTCAAAGATAAATGGCCCTGGGTACTGGCAGCCTGCAAAATATAAGAGCTTGATTTTCCCCCATCATTTCAGGGGCCACCACATCTCTCATGGCTGTCAGGCACAATAGTGACTTGAAAGCCCCATTATCCCCCAAAGAGCAATTTTCCACTGTGGACTGCTTTCCTAGGCTAGCAGCTCCACTCTCTGAGAATTAGTAATAAGAAATATGCTCTTGCACAGTCCTAAACCTGCTGTGTCTAATAAAGACCTGTTTGCAGCAGCATCCCTCTTGTTGCTTTGATCTGGCACCAGCAGAATCTGAAAACACCACAGAGAGGAGGCAGGAACAGCCCAGAGAGCGTGGTGAGTCAGAGCTTTCCTCAGCCCCCGCACCAGTACCTGCAGGCACAGCGCTGTGCCACGGGCCTGAGGCCAGCACCAGAGATGGCATCTGACCCCCAAGGTCATCCTGTAGGCTGGGCTGGGTGCCAAAGGCCTGGTTGCTGGCTCAGCCCTTTCCAGGCTGTGGAGGGAACATGGAATGCTGAGGGAGGAGCTGGCTGTTTGGATGTCACTGGGGCTGCAGTGGTGATTGAGGGACTGCTCCGGTGTCCTGTGCAGACCTGCCTGGGGCTGGGAGCTTACCCCGGACCCAGGTCCATCATCCAGTCCAGTCCTGTTCAGCACCTGCCGGGTAGACCAAAGTGGATCTAATTCAGACACTGCCCCCTGTACATAGTGGTGACAGGTCTCTCTTGGGACATGCTGGGACCTCACCCTGCAGCAAATGTTGCACTTTGTGGCTCTGCAGAAACGGGTGTGCTGCTCGCACTGCCAAGGCAACCCCCTCTCGCATCCACGTGGAAACTTCAGCTGCTGAATGGCATCTCGAAAATGTCACAAGCCTTCTGTCTTTTTCCACTCCCCGTGAACAACTCTTTCATATGAGTGGGAACATTCCAGGTGTTCAACCACCCATGGGCCAGGGCAAGCCCCTGCTGTCAGTGAGTGACTGCCTGAACCACTCACGGGGACCCCGGCACCCTTGTCCCTACGGGCCCAGGAGAGAGCTGGTCCTCCTCTGAGCTGCAGGGTCATGGCCAGCTGTGATCACAGCACTGCTCGTGCCCCAGTGCAAGCCCAGTTCCCACAACACAGCAGCTGTGTCTGGCCCCATTGCACCAGCCCCATGTCCGGGCAAAGCACCCAGGACTGGGCTGGAGCAGCACGATGGATGCTCTGCTGGGCCTGGACAAGCTCCTGCCTGGGATGTGGCTCCTGCCCAGAGCCTGTGGCACAAACAGCAGCTCTGACTGATGCTCCTGCTGACAGGCATGTAGGGCTCGACCATGACCTTGAGACACATCAGAAACTGTGAGGGACAAAGGAGATGGCAACTGCACACCAACTTCATAGGCAGCAAAAAAAAAGCATATGGGTAATACATGTGTTCCTCAAACAGCTCTTGGAACTACCTCTTTCCTTGTTTTTTTTTTGTTTTGTTTTTTTTTTTGGTGTTAATTCAGCTCAATTTCTTCAATACAGCACATGTCCTCACGTGGTCTGTGTGGGAGTGACCTGGGCTGGGTGCCAGACATACCCCAAAGCTGCTCCACCACTCTCCCTACAATGCCCCAGTTGCTGTTAGCAAACGTGTTTCAGCTTGGGTTCCTCTCTCCATGGGGTCACAGGTCCTGCCTGCTAGGATCTTCCCATGGAGTCATGGTCTCCTTTGGGCATCTGGTGTTGAGTCCTCCCTAAACTGCAGGTGTATCTCTGCTCCCTCATGGACCCTTGTGGGCTGCAGGGCTCAGCCTGCAGTATGAGGCAGGGGTGGAACATGGCTGGGGTGTCAGGGGTGACTCACAGGGTTGGAACATGGCCCTGCACAGCCCCAAAGGCTCCCCAGGACTGGCAGCACTGTACCTCCATCCCCTCCAGCAGCTGCCTGGACGTAAGACACCAGTTTCTCACCTGTTCTCAGATCCAGAGTAATTCTTGTGAGTCCAATAGCCTGGATTTGTCATTGCATATTGACTCCACTGATCCCAGCTTGCAACACAGCACAAGGAGGTTTCCCCTGACCTCTGTGGCTTCAGGCACAGCCTCAAAATACATCCTGAGGGACTACTGCAGGGCAGGGCTCCTCAGCCATAAATCACCCCAGGATTCCTGCTAGCAGCAGGAATAACGAATGCATCCCATGGTGCTCAAAACCAGTCTTTTCCCACAGGAGAGCAAGAGAGAGATTAAGGGTGCAATTTTCTGCCAGGAAAATGCCAAGTTTACCCAGTGCCTTTCCCGACTGCTGCACAGGGAAGGGCCATGATGGGTCTGTAACACACAAACAATGAATAGAGAAGCCAGATTTCTGTAATAAATTAGTGATATTTAAAAAAAACCCCAAAACTCTAGCACATAATCAACATTACCGCTGAAGTAAGAACCCCAACATTTTTTCATTAAAGAGCTTTATAAATATATATGTTACATTAGTATAGATACTGTACTGTGCATGCACACACACAGGCAGATAAATAGGTAAGAGTTTTGGAGGTTCAGCTTTGGTCCATGCTCCTTCTGCTGTGTCTCAAGGGCACCAAAACCCCAGCGGAAAGTTGTGTCCCATGCGTGTGGCTGCCCGTGGGAGCAGCCGCTGGGGACAGGAGCCAGCGCTGGCCGGGCGGCTCCGGGCGGCTCCGGGAGCGGGGNGGGGGGTGCTGGTGGTGTGAGAGTTGGAGGAAAGGAGGTGCTGAGCCCCTAAAAATGCAGGGAACCCTGGCTCGGCTCCAAGCTGGAGGAGAACGGTCACTCACCAGTGCTTTTGGGAGGCACATCTCCGGAGGACTGGGGAACACATGCAGCTGGATGAAGCACAGCCCGGCCACACTTAGCAGCAGCAGCAGGAAGAAGGCGCTCAGCACGGCAAGGACCCATGGAAAGCCTGCCAGGGTACAGCAGGCTGAGGGGTCACTCAAGCACATCGCTCCCACCCCACCTGCTATCAGTGTTTCCCATCCATGTCAGGCTGGGATGTTTCAGGGGGCAAGCCCAAGGCAGAGGACAAGAAAGCATCGCCCTGAGTGGTCCCACTGGGCAGCACTGGGCCCCAACCCTGACTGCAGTGGCAGGGGGTGAGGGACCCACACCTCCACACAAGTCTGTGCTCTGAGCAGGACCTGAGATGCAACCGTGCCAGCTGAACTGGTGAGAATGCTCCCACCTGCAGGGCCTGCTGGAGTCACCAGGCACCGCTCAACCTCCCGGCTCCGCTCCCTGGCAATGTCTGCAGCCACCGTCCGGACACAGTACTGTGTGCTGGGCTTCAGGTGCCCAAAGGTGCAAGGCACTTTCTCACTGCTCCGTTTGCAGGGCACCTGAAAACAGATGGGACGGATGGCCACAGCAGCTGGAGGAGGGGTTTGTGCATGGCTCCACTGCTCTGTGCAGCCCCAACATCCTGCTTGCCCCATGGTCCCACCTCCTGGGCACCTCCACCTCTGTTCTTTGCCCCAGGAGGTGTTCAGGTCCCAGAGCATCTCCTGAAACACCTGTGGCATCACCTGTCATCTGAACAGAACCAGTCCAGTTCTTGTTACCCAGGGGAGGGAAGGGGTCTCCTGCCTCGCTAAGGTGGGAGCCCCGGATTGGGGGTACAGAGCACTTCACACCTGCATGCACAGCCATGTGTGGGCAGGGCTGCAGCGCAAGCATCCCCACACCACTGCAACCTGAGACAGTGAATTTGCTGCACCAGGAAAGCTCATGTGAGCCCTGCACCTCTGGGCCCTGCCCAGCTGCCACACACCTGCTGGACAAGCAGGTCCTCCTCGTACAGGTGAAGCCAGTACCACAGCTTCAGCAGCACTCGGTTGACTGGCTTGTAGGAACCAGTTCTTTTCTTGTAGGGAGTGAGTGGTGTGATGATTTTTACACTGAGGATTTGATCCTGGAGCAGCCAGGACAACTTGGGGGGGCCAATAATTGCTGTAGGGAAGAGAAAGAATATAGAAAATTAAGGCCTTCAAAGGAAGGCAGACATCTTGTTTCTCTAGAAGTGATATTTTTCTGTCTGACATTCCCCTCTCAGAGCACAGAAGCTCCTCAGGTCTTGCTCTGGAACCAGCTCTAGGAATGGCAGCCACCACTTCTTCATGACAGCTAGCACTGCTTCTGCCTCCTCTTCACCCCAACAGACCTGTGGCACCACCAGCTCCCACTGCTGAGACCTCCACCCCTGAGCGATCCACCAGGGCCTGGAGATCTACTGCCAAGGCCAGCAATCACTTTCTAAATGAATACACCCACTGCCATGCCAGTTGGATGCAGAGGGGATGAACAAGGGAACACAAACCACCAACATAGAACCCACTTTGCTTCTCACACATTCAGTTTATTGCAACAACCCCTGTGATGGAGGTCAGAGGAGGGTCCTGAAAAATTTCTAGCTCCATGAGACTGCCAGGATTTTGGACAGAGCAGCCTGTGACTGAGAAGAGGCACATTCCCACACCTGGCAAACACAACAGTCAGGGTGAATGGATCACCAGAGGGTCTGCCCCTGCCTGCACCAGCTTCATTTTGCTGGGGCAAAAACTCCCAGACCATGACAGGGGAAGAAGGTGAGCCTTTCAAAAGCCAAGCCCGGAGGCATATCCTCTTTCCTGCCCCATCTCGCTGCATTCCCCAGAGACCCAAGTTCTCATGGTGCCTTGCTGGCCTGGGGCCTTTTATCCTTCACCTCACTGTGTCTCCTCTGTCCTTTTGCTCTTCACCCAGCCCTCCTCCAGCCACTCTGCCTCATCCCTTTCCTCTGGTTCTGACTCTTTTCCCTCCAGTATCCTAATATGCTTTCCCGCTGTATCCCATCAGATCTCTCCAAGGACCCCTCTCCCCGTTGGCCCCCAGGAAGAGCCCAGCTGGAGGAGCTCCCCAGTCCTTACTGTCTCTGTACAGCTGCAGCTCGCTGGAACTGGCCCACTCGGACTGCTCACCTCCGGCCACCACTCTCACCCGTGCCCAGTAGATATCATGAATCCTGTCAAAATACAGCTCACACACCCAAGAGCTTATCCTGTTCCCCCCGCAGGCACCTGCCTTGGTCCAGTTCGAGGTTCTGCCCAGGGAGAAAGCACAGGAATTGCTTCTTTTCAGCATCTTCCCAGCCCAAAGGGAGGGCTGCCCAGTACTGCCTTCCTGCCCAGATGGAGAGTGTAGGAAAGCCCAGGTATCAGCCAACAGTCTCCCAGGGTGTGTGAGGAGACAGGTCACCAGCAAGCTGACTCCCTCCTGGGGACAGGTGGCATCTGGCACTGCACCCTGACCTGTGCTCTCCACAATGACAAAACACACAGCTGTGGCAGGGAGAACCCCCCAAGGAGTTGAAGCTGTTGAGGCTCTGTGGTATGAGGGAACCTGAGTGAGTGGTGATAGCTTGAGCCTCAGAGAAGGGCGACTTTGGGTGGGGAAGAGAAGACAGAGCCTTCCTGTCAGTGGTGCCCAACGAAAGGACAAGAGGCAGTGGGCACAGGTTGAAATACAGGAAATCCCATTTAGCATAATAGAAAAAAACCCAAATCCCAAGTCCAAAAGCAACCCCTTAGTTTGTTACTGGGAAAGTGACCAGGAAAGGGACCAGGCAGTCCAAGGAGGTTGTCTTGAAGTTATTCAAAACCTACCAGGACACAGTCCTGAGCTGACCCTGTGTGTGCAGAGGTGGGACAAGCCAATCCCTGCCAACTCCACTGCTCTCTTACTCTGTGGCATTTACTGCCAGGCAACAGTCCTCTGGCTACTTGGGGTCCCCAACAGCCTCTGCCAGGGTATAAGAGGAGCAGACCCCTCAGCCCCTCCTCCCCACCTACCTGTTCCTCCACTCCACCTCGTAGGTGGCAGAGATGGGTGAGCTGGGGTCTGGCTCCCAGTGTAGCCAGACGTGGAAGTTCTGTGCCTCCAGCCTCACGTGCCGTGGCCGCAGCAGCGTCCCTGGGGAGGAGCAGAGGGGTGTGAGCAGCATCCTGAAGAGTCCCCTTGTGCCCTGGTGCACAGGTTCCCCAACTTCTGCCTGACATGGGCAAACACTGACTTCAAAGCGGCTCAGCCCCTGCATCCCCCCAATCCATCACACACTGAGAACATCCTCTCCACGATTCTGCCAAAGCAGAGACACAGCTGACAAAAAGGGGGAGACAACACCCTGCCACAGCTGCTGCTGACCCCAGGGTTTCCTTTCTCATCACACCTTGATGACCACTTGGGCCCCTCCTCTTCACAGGTACCTTCAGTAGGTCTGAGAGGTGTCCCTGTGCCTCTCCTGCCCTGCAGCCAGGGTCCCCCCCAGACTGTGGTGACAGCTCCAGCTGGCTTACCCTGGAGCAGGGAGCAGCTGGCCAGGAATAGAAGCAGGAGCAGGGCAGGGCTCATCCTACCACAGCCCATCCATCTGCCCCCACATTACGCTGCTGTGCCAGGGGCTGTGGAAAGGGATGGGTGTGCTGGAGCTGCTCTGCTACCTGCAGACATCACAGGCTGCTGGCACCTGGGATTAAAAACAGAGTATTATTCTCAGAAGCTTCAGCCAGTGACACTGCCCCATGGAGTCCACATGCCTATCGTGGCACAGAGGTGTCCAGTGGCAGGGGACCTTCACAGGTACCCTCAGGGCTCTGTGAACCCACAGAGACAGCGGGCAGCTGCCACCCTGCTATGGCACTGTGCATGCGCTGCAGCGACCTTCTGCTGCACCCACCTGTGGCGCCCCACCATGAGAAGCCATGCTGCCTTTGTCACCAGGATGCGGGGCTGAGAAAGCTCCTCACCTAATGCTCACACCACTGGGGAGGTGACTCAGCCCAGCTCTGGGCATGACTCACACTGGCACAACCTGTGACACCACTGCCAGGACACCCCCGGACATCCCACAGCCTCCGGGTATGGGGAGGGCGCTGTGTGTGACAGCACCCACAAGGCAAAACGGGGCACAATGAGGGACCCTCGGGCTGTAAGCAGAGACCTCAGACTGAGCCAAAGCAGAACCACCTCAGCATGTGGGTACAAAACGTTCCCCCCATGTTTCCTCTGCCCTTGCAGCATTAAGAGCTTGAAACAAGGAGGAACAGTCAACAAGCAGGGACGTGCAGCTGCAAACTGTGGGCGAGGGCTGAGGTGAGACCTCTGAAACACCTGAGGTGAAGCACAGGCAGTTGGTCCAGGGATTCCCCCACCCTGTGACCAGCAGGAGCCCTCCTGCCTTTGCAACAGAGCCCATTGAAGGAGGCAGCATTTCTGTCTGGAGGGACTAGGAGCCTCCAGGATTGTTCCTGGGGCTTCTGGAAGTCCAGAGCTGGGGAACTGATGGAGAACTGATGGAGACCCTAGGACCAGCTGCCTGTGCAGGCAGGGACAGGGCTGCTCCTGCTGCAGAAGGTGGCACAAGGGAGGCAATGCTTCCCTGAAGCAGCAAAGGTGACTGCAGACCAGTCACTGCCAGCCCCCCAGCACATCCATTCCCCTTCTGCCATGGCCGGAGGAAAAATCCCAGCAACTCTCCCCGTGTTGTGGCAATAACTGAGATTGTGGGAAATAACCCCCTCTGCTCTGCACATCCTCTCCTTTGTCTGTACCCTCACCACACCACCCTGAGGCACCAGCGCTCCCCCCTACCTTGATCCAGCACTTCCTCTGCCCCTCTGCCGTATCAGGAACCCACCTGGCCCACCACCCTGTTAAATGCAACACCCTCAGCTCAGCAACCTCACATCTGGCTCCGAGTGCTCACAGGAAGCGCTGCCACGGTCGGCTCAGCTGCCAGGCTTCCTCCAGATGGGGGACAGTCCGTGTTGTCCGTGCCACCAGGCTGGGAGACGTGATTTGACTTGGGTGGTTTGTAGCTCCTTTGCTGAGCCAGGGCTTGTTTTTTACCTTCCTTGCTTCCTCGTTAGCAACGTCCCAGCTGGGCGCGGGCGCTCTGCAGTGCCCTCTGCACAGCAGAGCTGAAGCACAGCCTGTGACAGCACACCATCCTGTGCAAGCCCTGCAGGGACCGTCAGTGCCGTGGAGACAGGCAGGAGTATGGGGCTCAACCAGGGGTGACACATGGCAGGGCAGACACAGGCCAGGCCAGCCCAGCAAAACCAGTATCAAATTTTATCCTTGCCAAGACCAGTGCTGCAGGCTGGGCACACAGGGCTGGGGCCCCTCATTTTGCCCTGGAGACCACAAGGGACCTGCACGTGGCTCTGCATCACCTCAAGAGCTCCAGGCCTCTGGCAGCCCACTGGGGTAAAGCACAGTTGGGCTTATACCTCCTAAGAACTGTGCAACCATTACAAGACTAACAGCCACTGAGGGCAGCACGCGGAGCTCATGAGCACCCTTCAGCTCTGCCTAGAAGCTGGAAGTCATTGTCAGCCTGGGCATTCCAAAACAAGAGCCCCGGAGTGGCCAAGCGCCAGCCTGGGGGCCAATGCCAGCCTCTCGTGTTGTCCCTGCACCACTTCAACTGCCAGCAGTGTTGGGTAGCCCCGACACATCCCCGGTGCAGATGGGGCTGGGGCCTGGCAGGAGCTGGAAGGGAGACAGACATAAGGACAAGGACACACAGCCACAGTAAACTGGACAGGCTCTTTAATACCTTCCTTAATGAGAACAACTTGTGCTTGCTGCCTGCTCAGATGAACTCACATTGTTGGCCATGTCTGCTCCTGGGGCAGAGGCCAGGCAGCTCAGCAGGACAGGTACACCAGTCAGGCAGGATGATACCCCCAGAGAGAAGAGGAAGACACAAAGAGGAGATGCTTTAGCCAGTGCTGTGCCTGACAGCTGCACACTGCAGAGCCCAGCAACCAGCACCCCACAAAGCACTGCTGGCCAGGCAGGCCTAGGGCTGCTCCAGGCCCTTCAACCCCTCATCCTTTGTGGTCAGAGGGTGGGGGGGATGCCTGCAGGAGTTTGGGAGGACTGTGAGTACAGTCAGGTCAAGGAGGCCCAGGCAGCCCCAAGGGGTGTGGCTCAGCTGCCCCCAGCAGTTTGGAAGCATGTCTTCTGCCCGGCTCTCAGTGTTTTGAAAGCACAAAAGTTACAGAACTGGCCAACTCCATGGTCTGGAAAAGGTGGGCATGTGCCCATTGCAGGCAGGATGCAGGCAGGACATCCTCAGACTGCGGCACTGGGGTTCCTGAGGGGGTTGGGAAAGGCAGGTCTCTCCCTGAGAGAGGGTGCCACAGGGATGAAGACTCCAATGGCAATGGCCCAGCTGTTCCTGGGCTGGAGGCATCACCAGCCACTCCCAGCAGGGCACAAGGGGGATGCAGAGGGAGCAGACAGTGCCATGACAGGATTGAGCATCAGCACTTGTCACCACCTCTGTCCCTGCCTCCCAAGGTCAAACTTTCCCTGGTAAAACCCATCCTCCAAAGGCTTTCTCCAGGTACTGAGCTACTGCCAGTGTCAAGTGGTCGTTGTAGGCGGCTGCCACCAGCTGGATGCCCAGCGGCAGCCCCTCGCTGCCCAGCCCCAGCGGGCACTGTGTCACCGGCAGGCCCAGGACATTGAAGATGGCTGCAAGAGAGAAGGTTGGATGGATCAGAGTGAGCACAATGACTGGGATATATCACGGCCTGGCTCTCCCACCCTGGGCAGGCAGCTCTGCCAAGCACAGCACCAAGATGGCAGCTGGTGCATTGTGCAGCGACATGGTTACAAGAGAACTCATTGGCCACAGATTCCCATACATCATGTGTATAAAGAGCACCCATGAGGGATGGTACACACTGTGGCATGCCAAATTTGGGTGGTTCCTGCCCCAGGCAGCAGCCCTTCATCACTCCAAAGCCAGGCAGCACTGACACTGGCACTGAGGTGTTCAGATCACAAGGGAACCACACAGGGAGCGCCAGGCTGTACCCCAAGAGATGGCAGGTCTCAGGTTCCTGCTAAACTGCAGCTGTAACCCCTCTGGGGCACAGAGGTCCCCAATATCACACACAAAGTCAGACCTGCCCTGCTGTGGGCTGGCACCTTTGGTAAAAGATAAAAAATGCCACATATATGAAGTACGACAATCCTCGCCCCACTCTCTGGAGCAGGACACCTCTCTTTGCTGCACAGCCCACTGTCAGCAATGCAAACACTCTGGGTACAACACCCCAGCTGCAAGCCCACACTGCTGCCATGAGGAGACTATCCTGACAGCCCTACCTGCAACCCCACAGGAGCCAGGGCTGCTCACCTGTGTAGGCAAAATTGAAGGGCATGCAGATGGGGGAGTGGTGCTTGGGGGCGATGGTGGGGTGCGAGGGGTAGAGGAGCACCCCGTCTGGCCCCAGCAGTGCCTCCATCTCCTCCTGTAGGCTCTTCCCCATGCTCACCAGCTTGGCCTTCCCACTGAGGTTGAGGTTCACCAGCTTCTCTGTCAGTCCCAGGGCTGCAGCAAAAGGTGGAAATGGGGACAAGAGCAACTGAGAGGACCGTGGGCTACGTGGGGCAGAAACAGATTTCCCAGCCACATGTAACATGCCTTGCTTCTGGGGTGGCCTCCCAAGTACCCCTTCCTGCCAGTAGCCACAGCAGACTGACCCTAGCACATATTTGTGGGCAGCATCGCCCCAGCTCTGCCAAGGGAAAGGCATCCAACCTGCCCCTTCCTTTCAGCTTTTCCAGCCAGTGGGATTGAGCAGAGCTCGCAGAATGACCCCAGCACTCATTAGACAGCAGCACGACTGCACTGATTAGGGTTCTCTAGTACCTGCTGCTATGAAACAAGATCAGTGCAGACCCTGGTACCCTCCGAGCCCCCAGCAGTTCTGGCAGGGCTCACAGCAGGAGTGAACCCTGCCCCCAGCTCCATCACCCTCACTCCTTCCCTCAAGATACCCACTCCCATTTATCAAAGATCCACTCTCTTGAGCTTGCATGCGACTCAAAGACATGGAGTGTCATTACAAAACTAGGCTGAAGCTGCTCAGGAAAAACCCTAACTTCCTTCACTGGGCATTGGAAGGGTAATACCTGCATTTAACAACTTGCCCACCCCACCACTGCCTCTGCACTCCCTGGGGCCCCTGCCAGCATTACCGATAGCTGGGAGAGTGTGAGAAGACATCCCCACGAGCCACTTCATCAGCTCCCACAGCGGCCACACTGGCTTCCCATGGTCCCCCAGCAGGTCAATGAATCTTTGTGCCTCCTGTAACAAACCCACTCCCCTGTCAGCACAACCAACATGCAGCAGGGAGGCACAGGCTGGCATGGGACAGTGAAATTCTGCTTGTCCCATTATCCCAATGTGAGGTGTCCCTGCTTTCACATAGGAGATGTCCATCAGGAGTGCTCCACAGCTCTGACACTGATCCAGGGCAGCAGCAGGAGTATCTTTCCCTGCCAGAGACAGCAAGAAGAAGGGAGAGCCCCCCAAAGCAGCACACAAGTGACATGATGCAAGGGATAATATCCCAGAGGCATTTCTTCCTGTGATATGACCATGGGACCTGGAAGAAGGAGGTAGAGGAGCCAGACAAACCCTCCTTAGTGTGGTGGGGCTGGGCTGCTTCATCACTGCCTCTGTGCCAGGAATGCACAAGTTATGACACTCCCAGAAGTTTATTTTATTTCAAAATACTTTCCTGCATGCACAGAGCATAGCACAGTGTCTGCAATTCCAGGGAAAGATAACATAAGTGGGCCTCCTCCTGGAAAGCTGCTAGTTGCCTGCCTGTCCTGGTATCCCAAAGGGTGTTAATCCCAGCCTACAAAGAGCAAGGCAGGATGCCCCCTGCTCAGCTGCCTTATCAACCTGCATGGAAAAGGTCAATGTGCCAAAACAACCTCCCCCTCCCTATTACCACATTGCTCCTTTGCTGAGAGCCATGGCCTCAACCCAGAGGACAGCAAGGGAGAAAGGGCTGTGCAACTTTGGGAAAAGATGGAAGGAGGATTCGGGGGGAAAATGGAACTGGGAAAGCCCCTGAGTAGGTTTGGGAAGCCTACAGCTCCCTATAGCTGGCCCCGAACAGCTGGTTCTTCCCTGATGCCTCCAAAGCTGTGCCTTTGCCAGCTCACTCTGACACACCTGCCCCTCGCTGTCCTCGGATAACATCATGGCTGACCAGATCTGGAAAGAATACTTCATCTTGTGGATTGCCACACGCTGAACCCGGACCCCGAGGTCACTTTCGAGGTGCTCCACTACCTGAAGGGAAGAGCAAGGATGGGTTTGTTTCCACAAAGATGTGATGCATGCCAGAGGAGGATAAGGAGACCTACTCACAACATCTTTCCCTTGTGTCCTCTTTAGCCCTGAAGAAGAAAAAGTTCTTTCCACTTTTTAACTGCTGAAAGCACAGGACTAGGATGCAAGACTGCCACCCCAGGCCTTCATCCCGTCAGCCCCTGCAGGAGCCACCATACAAAGCAGCTCTTTCCCCTCCCCAGGGCTCCTTTGACCAGTCTCCCCAGGTTCTACCTTCAGGCTCACGCTGCTTCCTACCTTCTTTTGGGCCTGCAAGATCTCCTTGTCCACAGGTGATACAAAAATGGATCCGCCGTCATGATCCATGCAGTGGAATTTGATCTTCTCCAGTGACACTTTCTCATTCAGTTTCAGCCTGGGAAAGGAATGGTGCTTTGTCACAAATCCATCCCCAGCTCCTCTGCAGCAGCTAAAGGTTCCCACATGCTCATTATGTATCTTCAGGAGACCCTGCTCTGTCCCCCAGAGTGGCAAGGTGAGACCCTGAAGACACACAGACACCTACTGCCCACAACGCATCCAGCTGCTCACCCGCCCCCTCAGTCCCAGCAAGTTTCTGTTGGGAAAGTTCTCATCCCTCCAGAAGCACCTTGTGATTACATACCCTGGCAGCAGCCAAGGCTGGGATTGCACAAGAGCCAGGGAAAAAGCAAAGCGGAAATGGAGACAGCAACTGTGTGCAGGCTGTGGCAAAAAGGAGGGCTGCCCCATGTGCCACATCTCCGCTCTGCTCCTCACTGGCACGCAGCATAGTTGCACTTGGTTGCACGGACCAAGAACTGAAAGAACTGAAGTGGCCATGGTATGGGATGGAAAACTCCTCATTCAACAACAGGAAAAAAGCCCAGTAATTCCCAGGAGCAAGGCCAGGCCTGGGAGGGGTGTGTGGGACAGAGCTGGGAAACAGTTCCCTGGTGAACAGGACCCTATCAGTCGGCCCATGTCTGCCCCTTCCCAGGAGCACATGGGTGGTGGGAAGGGCAGTCCCAGCAGCCAAGGTCCTGCTGAAGCCAGCAGCAGAGGAAGGAAATCACTAACAAGCAAACTGGGTGGCGTGCACGCCTGTCTCCTCCAAAGGACTAATACACTGTAAGGACCAGAGAGGTGTCAACTCCAGCTCCGCAGCTGGGAGCAGTGGGAACAACTCACTTGCTGACCCCAGGACCGGCCATGACTCTCAACACAGGTTCCAGGTCCTCCGCATAGCGGCACATGGGCCCCGTGCACAGGTAGCTGGTCCGCACCCCGTGGGCGTTTGGGAACTGGCCGTCGTTGGGCACCACCCCTAGAGCAGAGATGTCAGATACTACCCTGAGTATCGCCTCCAGACCTGCTGGGATCCTGTGTGCCAGGAGATACGGTTCCCCAGGGATTGCATGCCCCACAAGAGCTGACGGCAAGCTGCGTGGGGTTAGTGGATTAGTTTTAGAAGGGAGGACAAGCATCCAGTCAGGACACTGAAAGCCAGATAAACAACCCAGCAGATCCCAACCTTGTGAAAACATCCCACGCTGAGAATGCAATACTTGGGTAAATCCCCACCCGTCTCCCACGTGCCTGGCGTTCTGCCACCAAAAGCTTTCCCAAATGCCCACACCTGCTGTGCTCCCTCAACAGGCTTGTCCCATGCAAGGAGTTACCTGACTCCTTACATCAATCCCACCAGTGACCAGCACAGGGGTGTCCTGACCCCAACACCCACCTTACCTGTTGTGGGTTTATGGCCAAAGACTCCATTGAAGAAGGCAGGCATCCGGATACTGCCACCGATGTCAGAGCCCACACCTACGACTGAGCAGGCAGCTGCCAGGACACTGCCCTCCCCACCTGCACAGGAGAAAACGTGGCAAAACCCCACAGATTATGGTGCAAATCCTCCAGCAAAGCAGGAGCACCTCACAGTAAGGGTGGGGGCCTAAAAAGCAATAGGGATGGGGAGCTTTAATGATGGCTGTGGGACAGCTTGGGATTGTGGGCCAAAGGGATTTTCCTGCTGAGGTACAACAGAGCGAACTGAAGCAATGCCTGATGAAACATCCAGAAGAGGCAAAGCAGCTGAACCTCCCAATAGCCTACAGCAGTGCCCAGGAAAGAGGCCCATAATCTCTGCAAGAGCCCAGGGACACATTAATAGCTGTGTGCAGAGACGTGGAACTTTTCCCTTGCTGCATTTTAACCTGCCGCTCATGCAGGACTGTGCCAAGGAGCTGGGGTTCACCTGAGCTGCCGCCCACAATCCTCTGCAGGTCGTAGGGATTGTTGGTCCGCCCGTAGACCCTGTTGCTGGACTCGTACCACATGCAGAGCTCGCTGCAGTTGGTGACACCCAGTGGGATGGCACCTGCCTGCTTCAGCCGCGACACCACCGTGGCATCCGAGGTGGCGATCACATTGCGGCGGTTGACCAAGCCAGAGGTGTTTGGCATCCCTGTGGTGCCAAGATAAACAGGAATGAGGCATCAGGGCCAGTGCCCTGAGACAACCTGGGGCTGCAGAGAAGCAGGTTCCCAGTGACAGCTGCTCCTCCGCAGCACCTGTGTGCTATACGTGAACGCAAACGCAGGAGCCCGGCCAGAGCTTGGTACAAACCAGGGAAAGGGAGACTACTTCCCTCCAAGCACCTGCCACAGCCCCCCACCACTCTGGGGAGCACATCAAGACCTGGAGAGGCACAAAGATGAACCCACCGTAGAGAGAAAAGGCCTCCTTAACAGTGAAGGGAACCCCCAACAAGGGGAACTTCTCCTCCAGGCAGTCATCGCCAGGGCCCTCCAAAAGCAGCTTGTCCACCTGCCGGGCTTCCTGCAAGGCCTCCTCAAACCTGTAACACAGCACCCGGCGATGTTCTGGCGCTGGCTCAGAGGAGCGGGCAGGCCCCAAGCGCGGCAGGAGCTTGTGAGGGGAAGTGAGACCGCCTGGTCTCTGCCGGAGCCGGGCGCGCTCGGCACGGAGCTGCTGCGGTGGCGGCGCGAGGATCCCCGAGCCCCGGCGGCGACCCGAAGGGAGGCAGGCGGGGAGCCACTTTCTCACCTGTCCTTAACCACGGCATTGATGAGGGGATTCACCTCCTTGATCCTCTCCACGTACGCCTCCACCACCTCGATGCACGTCACCTG